TTCCTCTAAGTGCAGTTATCACAGTCTCAAACCACAAAGGAAAACAGCAGTAATAGCCCCATTCTTAACGTTATTTCATCGTCACCTCGGTGCGTGTGCGTTCCTCTCCTCTGGCCCCGCCGCGCTCCCACACAGGCCCAGATACAGATCTATAACTGGGATTGGCAGTCTGGAGGGAGCCGGGGCAGGAAGAGGGCTTTGTTAGGCTAGCGGTCCCTGCTGCCTGCGCCGCCGCGCTCCAGCATGGGTAAAGAAACAGCTTTACACACTGACCTCAGAGCTGTTGTTTAATCACCAGGGCATTTTAATGGCTTGTCAGAGTAATGAAATATGGTTGGAGGCTACCTGGTGCAAACATTACGATAAATCCCTCTCACACAGGCCTACACAGGGCTTAATGGTTATAAATCATCACTTTGGGGAGAGAAAAATGACAGCTATTAAAATAATGAATGGGATGATTAATTTTTCACATTAAAGATTAAAAGCTATGAGAGGTATCATCAGATATTTGAGCTGCCGTAAACGTTTGAAAGTGAGAGCTTATTTCCAGCCGTCCGTTTCTCCGCTGTCACGCGGGGTCCTGCCCCCCTTTCCCAGGATCTTTTTCATCCGTTTCCTTCCACTTCTTCTCTTTGTGCGTCGACGCAGGCGTTCCTCACACCTAATTTGTGCTCTTTTAAAAGTGCTCAGAGGAAGAGCCTTGAAGAAGGCTTTCTGCTCCAGGCAGTACAGGACCCTCTCACCCGCTCTGCAGGAGCTGCTCAAGCCTCTCGCTGATATCATCTCCTTCTCCTTAGCTAATCACACCTACAGCGGTGGGGCAAAGGAAGCACACCTAGCTCAAAATCTACTCAGATACATGTCCAGAAACAAAAATGTAATATACCTGCTCCACTTAAATACAATAAAATCTGCCTGTCATTGATTATTAAGCTAAAATTGAGAAGCTGTTCTTCCCAAACTAAGTACACCCCTGCTGCTAGGATGGGTAGCAGCAGCTAGGTGGTGCTGCATGCTCTCAATATTGAAATCACTGCACAAATGAATAATCTTACCAAGTATTTTTTGTCTGGTTTCTTGGGTAAATATCTTAGTATACTTGACATAAGACAACAGTAACTTTTCAGCAAGACACTGGAGCTTGTTTTAGGTCAACAGTTCCTAAATAATGATGTGAAAAAGGTGCTAGGTTTCTTAAATAAAGAATGTTAAAGTGCTGGCTGCAATGGTAGATTATTTAACTTTTACCAAAGGGGTAAAGTCGTGTTATAAGACTGTGACAGTGGAAACAGTCCTGTTTTTAAATCGATATTAACTGATGAATGGACTGGACATAGCAGACATTTTGACCACCCAAAGTGTTTGACATTATTCACCCATTCACACTGACAAACACAAAACCAACATGCTAGGCTAACGCTAGCAGCAGAAATTACTCGACTGGTCTTTTACCAAATACAAAAGACGAATCTTACAACCGCTAAAATCATTTTTGTTTACATTTCATGCAGAAGGAAGTTTGGCTCAGTGTCTTCAGAGGCGTTTGTGTCGTTAACTTCAGTGGTTTTTGGTGCAGCGCCCCCACAGGCGAGGAGGGGAACAGGTTGCTCAAAGGGTTTTGTTATTTGAAAATGAACCAAAACATCTGAAAATGTGACAAATGTTGCAACTTTGATCACCAATCAAACAGAGTATAACTTTGTAAATTATTCAAATCCAGTTCTTGACTATAAAGTTTGTAAACTGTTCATTTCTTGTAATAAAGCAAACCCACCCAACCTTTTTATTTTTTGAATCTACAATAATTTACTGATCCATTGCATGTGTAGTTAGCTGAGCTGTTATCTGTCGTTTTACTGTTGATTTTTAACACAGTTTTGGTAAGTGAGGACTTGTGACTTGACAAACGTCGCTGACTTGTGGTGTTTTTAGGAGGGAAACGGTTTTGCTGTGCTTGAAAATCCACGTCGAACAGAGATAATGGTGGGAGCTCAGTGAGCCGGCATAAATCCCTGCGTATAGACAAACGGTGACGAGCTTTCCCTCTCCATCAGAGGGCTCCCTGGAGAAGGTGTGCTACTGCATTTATTTCCAGCGGGACTCGCTGTGTTGTTCAAACATACATCACCCAAATTGCAAGGCAAAAGATTGGAGGGGAAAATCATAATTAGAACATTAATAACCATACACGTTGGAGAGCATAAGTGAGTTTTTTTTATGATGAATGAGAATGTAAACAAAAGGCAGAAGAATAAGAGGTTCAATTAGGTATTCTGAACTGTCTCGGCTGAGACGTGAGTGCGGCTTCTTTCACTGTAGCCCAATTATTTCTGCCCTCCCTGGCAGTGATGGCGCAGCGTGTCCGTCTGCAGCCTTTAGAGGGGTTATTCATGATGCCTCATTGAAGTAGCGACTCAATTTGTTGACAAAGAATCGAATAAATCCTTGGTCCGCTCAGGTGAAGATACCGACTGCATCATGTGAGATTCAGCTGGTTCTTCGCCTCTTCATGTTGCGTTCGTGTTCTCCGTGTTGGTGAGAGAGGACGGCCGCCCACGCCTCCTTCATGTTCCTCCAGTTCCCTCTTCTCCGTCTGCTAATGATCCAGGGACGCCAAATAAAGGGCCTCTGAAACAAAATGTCCACCGCAGTTGGCCCGTTTTTATCTCAACCCTCCCCTCTCGAATCAATTCTGACATTTCATTCTGCCCTCATAGAAGGTAATGGTGCATTCAGAGGTTGTTACCGATAATGTTGAGATGGTATTGCTTGGTTTCATTGGACAGACCGGCTGTAACCCCGGCTGCAGGATGGCTTCGGCTCGTCCTCCTCCCTCCTCTGCACCGTCACTTCAATCGCTCCAACTCTCTGATGTTCACTGGCTCAAATATCTCTTTTGGCGAGACGCTTTTTTTATTTTTTTATTTTCTCCTAACAAGTAGCCAACCAGTGTTTGTATTTTCCTCCCACTCTGGTGTTCACACAACTTGAAGTGAAAACACCCTTTTAAGTCAGCTAGTCAATATGCTGTTTCTAATATATTATTTACTGCCTATGGGCTGTATATATATCAGAATGCGCTCAACTACTGTTTCGGTTTGCAGTCATAATCATGTAGAGGAAAATCACAGAGCCAGATGTCTGGCCCTCGTTTTACAGCATTTATGTTTTCCTCTGAGTTTATGTAAAATTCATCCTTCTCTGTTTTTTATTCCCCCGTTTTCACCGACTCAACAATTAGTCAATTCCCAATCAACAAGAGAAAAGAAATTGCTTTTAATTACTTTTGATAAATGACAAATTGTGTTGGCATGGCTCCCTGCGAATGCTTAATCAGGTGCTGGGCGGGGTAGCGAGGCGGGAACCGGAGCAGGGATTTCTGCTGGGATGAAATCAATGCGCTCGCTCTGCGGTTCACCGGCTGGGCTGCTGGGCAACAGCCAACCTGAGGCCTGCGAAGATCCACCAGTCAGCAGAAAAGCTCCGGCTTTATGGGAACAGTCACAAACGGAGGCAAAAACATGCAGCAACACTCGGATATATGCGCCTGCTATAAGGGCGCTGCGGACGGGTAGTGATGCACAAACGTGGCTGATTCAATGCACTTTCAGTCTGAGTTACTCCAGTTACAAATGCTCTTACTTAAAGGCAGGAAAAGCACTTTAAATGTGTTGGAAATTAAATAATAGCTGTTGAGATATCTAAATTCGGAGAAACACGTCAGCTGAGCTTAAGCAACGCAGCAGTAAGTAGTGGGATAAACAACGAGGCTCTCTGGGGAAAAGTGGATGTGAGAACTCCCTAAAGACAACAAACCCTCCACGGCTTTTCTCCCACCTCGGATCTGCTGCAGCGCAGTAACACGGAGGCTGTTAGGTTCGTCAAATAAAATCAAGTTTCCTGTGGTTCAAATCACGGATAACAGGCTCTGCAACAATACTTCTCTCCTGGCTTTAACTCGGGTTTTCTTCTGTAGGCGTTTCTGCTGCAATTGATGCTTTTTTTATGGAAAAAAAAAACAAAAAAAAAACAGAGACTGTTAAAGACAGCGTTACTGCAGAAAAACATCTGAATATTTACTGTAAATAATCAGGAGCAGCAAACAAACATTCTAAAACCCAAGAAATCAAGAAATGTTTTTTGTTTTCAGTTAGACTCCAAGCCAAATGTTTTACTTCTCAATTTGCAATTTAATAATTTCCTACAACCACCCATTAACACTTGCCCACCTCAAAAACGCACATAATTTTATATTTTAATAGTTCAAACTCCAGATATACCTGAGGAGGTGTTGATACGCGTCGTGGAAAGACAACATCGACATTCTCCAATGATCTTTCAGCCAATCAGTGTCAAGGAAAAGGAACGCTGCTCCTGGATTGGCTGCTTGGCAGACACCAGCCAATAGCGCGTAAAGTAGCATTAATCTTCACAATCTGAAACAATCAACCGGTTTAATCAATTATTGAAGTAATTGTCAACAAATTATTTTAATTGATTAATCGTTAACTGGAGAACACACACTAAGAAAATAAATGTATTTAAGGATGAAAAAGATTTTTATCTGTAAATCTGTTTTACCCAAAACTCCTCAAATGGTTATTTTAGCTTCCCCTGGTTCAAATTTCAAAAAAAAAAAAAAAAATGTATGAAAATTTTTTTTATCCAATTATTAATTGAAAAATAATCAGCGTATTAGCCCTGATTATGTTTTGTTTTTTTAGCAAGAAAATGTATTATTAGTTTATTTGCAAATCAAACACCTGAGCTGAACCACAGGCTGATGTCCTCACTGATTAATTCAAAATAATTAATTAATTCAAAGACAAAGTACTGAATCCAGACCGAACAGATTCTAGATTAATTTCAGGTTTTAAGGCAGATTTAACCAAACTAACAGAAATAAAAACTTTAAGGATATGTGAGAAGAACTTTCTAGGTGTTGTATTTATTTGGACTTATTATTGATTTCTTTTCCCCTTTCCTGTGTTTTGCAGGTTCTTCAGCACCTTTGGCAGCAGCAGCGAGTCGCGTGACCCCGCTCCAGGCCGACCGGCTTCACCTGTACATGGAGACCCCCAGCTGGGCAGGTCAGACTCCGTAAACATGGTCCTGTTTGTGCGCCGCGCTGAACAAACGTCCCACATCCAGACACCAGGCTGGAGAGTTTCTGTTCTTACAGATACGGCTGGCAGGTTTCAGTAAAATAAATCAAACCTGATCTGCAGCTTTCAGACCAAAAACGTTTGGAAAATGTGGCATTTAAAGATTAAAAGTTTTACAGCGGATTTATGGGGACTGTGGGAACACATTTTAGAGTTTAGAATTGGTTTAAGGAACAAGGAAATTGCTTCTATTTAAGAAAGAAACACAATGAGGTAATAACTATTAGCACAAGATGGTGGTAAAAACCGCGTCTGTTCTGTCGGAGGAACAGAACAGTTTGGTTTGATGAACCAAACAAGTTTCTTCTGGTTGAGCAGAAAAAAAGAGACATTTTTAATGTTTTCCTTTTTCCTTCACTTTTCTTCGTCCTCCTTCAGCATTTTAAGGGTTTAACATTTTTAGAGCAGCTCGACTCTGTCAGACATAAAAGACAGATGTCAGTGTTGTGCAGCTTATATAGAGGTAATTTATCTGCAGCTTCTCCTCTCGACAATAATGAGACGGAACATTGAAATCACTGAGGACATGCTGCAAGTGTTTCTGCTGCTTTTGTGTTTCATTTTAACAGCCTCCACTTTGCACCGGACACTAAATCCTCCAAAACAAACCGATTACATGCATCCGTACAGCTTTTATCCCCTCAGATCTGCTGTGGGTTTTTTATTTTACTCTTTTCTTCCACTTATTGTTCAGTTGGAAACAATTGCAGGTGAAACGGCACACTCCGTTGGGCTTAAACCTTTGGAAAGAAGGTGAGAGGACTGAACTGGGTGTGAACAGCAGTAGAAATGCTGCAAGCTGATCTCGGATGGGTCGCTCAGGCGATGTGCACTGTGTTTTATTTGTGCTTGAACTATAAAATATTTATAAATTATGTATAAAAATTTAAATATTGATCAAATCTTGCAAGTTATTTTTTTCACTGATTTGTAAGAAAATAAATCCAAGCCGTACGTGGAGAAGTGGTGTGAATTTTGTATGAATGATATAGTTTGAGCAGAAGGTAAAGGCAGAAAGTGTGTAAGCTGCCGTTGTGTCCAGCTGCTCTGGGACCAGAGCTGCATCTGCTGCTTCGCATGTGGTTTCCGCATGTCATGCAAAGCACAGATTCGCTTCTGTCCTCTGATTTACAGAGACTGAAAACACAAAACGGTCCAGTTAAATCACACTGTTCTTCTTTAATGCTCTGTTTAATATTACATGCTTATCTATAATTGTAGATATTTCACTTTGGACTTTATTTACACATCTGTGTGACTGTTAAAAAAAACGAAGTCCTGCGTTCACATACAATAAAAACAAATCTAGATTTTACTGCTTATTTAAATTGGACTTGAAGTGTACACGAACAGCAGATTCTTCACTGTCATTACATATTAAAGAAAGATGGAAAAGCTTTGTGAGAGAATCCAGGTTTTCTTTCTGCTTCCACAGATCAGATTAGAGGAAATATCATCCAGGAGTTTCTGATCAAATTAACCGATTGGTTAAAACATTACTAGACCCACTGGCAGATTTTTCCACATAAGATGGAAAAAATCTCATTTTATAAGTGAAACAAGCTGCTGGTACTTATTAAAATCAGTATTGATAAATTGTTGACTCAAAGCTCCTGTGTCCTCCTGAAATGTTTCTTTTGAAGTTTTGTCTTATTTCAAGTGAACTAAAATATTTGCATTAGACATTAGACAGAAATACTTGGTACAATTTTATGTTTTTGCAGTGTGAAATCTACCAACATGTTTTGTTCACATTCATAATCAAAATGAGTAAAGAACAGTGAGCACAGCGGTGGAGGAGTGATGCTGTGGACCAGAAACCTCTCCATATCCAAGAGCTGAACTTGGTTTAAAGTATTTTAAAAATAAAGAATTTGCCCCCAATATGTTTATTGATTTAAATATTTTTTTTAATTTTAGAAGCTACTAAAGACCAGATGAGGTTAATTCTGTCCTGACACCAAAAACTTTTGAAATTAAACTTCGTTCTCCAGCTTTGCTCTCCGTTAGGCCCAGATTGTCTCAGTTCTCATCACAACAGTTGGTTTTGGGTTTAATTCCCAGAATCCTGCCAGTTTATATGAAGCTTTTTTCCTCATATTGATGCTTTTTGTCCTTTTTCTCACCTGGCCTCCCCCAAAGAAGCCAATCACTGCAGACTCTGAGTTAACGACTTCACGCCCTTTCGGCGTGGAAGCACTCTCGGTGTGATAAAGTCTGCATGTATGCACGCCTTACTCCCCCCCATCCGGCCATATTGTGCTAATGTGTGCTGGTTAAGTAGTGCAAGACTAGAAAAAGACTCTTATCCATATGGCTGAGAGCCGGGGAGTCGGCGTTGATCTCTCCCCAGACGGAGGCCTCTGCCTCCCCGCCCATCCTCGGCGGAGCCATAGAGCAGGTGGCAATGAGGATCAATGGGCCTCCACCATTACCTCCTCTCCACTTCGCGTCTCCAGTGGCGTTTCCAAGGGGGGCCCGCGGGGGCGTGCGCCGTGTCTCGCCGCAGCACGCCAGAAGAAATAGGGACGTTTCCATTAGTGTAATTGCTGGGGTATAGTTCTATATTATTGCCGTGATCACCGCTGTGGCTTGGTAATGATGGACCTCCCGTGACCCCCGTGTAAAGCTGGTGGGTGTTATGTCTCCCCCGTCGACGCCCATCGAGACTGCGGCGGGCGTAGGCGGCCGGTCGGACGTTACGCCGAGGAGAAAACAGACGGATCAACAACCAAAGGAAGCAAAAAGAGACGACGATCATCAAATATCTCTAGTCCCGTCTGAACGCTGCAAAAAGTATCTTTGGTTTAGTTTCTAGCACAAATAGCAACAAAACCAACTTACACATAACTTTTCAGAAAGAAATAGGAACGTTTTAAAGTTAATAATTCCTTAATATTAATGAAAAAATACTATTTCCACTGGCAGATTATTCCATTTACAACAAGACATTTATGTCCTTTTAATAAGTAAAATAATCCCCAACATAGCAAAAGTGCAAAACCTTATAAAGTATTTTTGTCCAATTTCTAATTCAAATAACTTATAAGTAACTTTTGAACAAGACATGGGAGCTTTGTTAAAGTCAATAATTCATTAATATTGATGAAAACGTACCAGTTCCACTGGCTGATTAATCCAATTAGAATCTGAGAAAAAAATCATTTGTGGATCTTTTTCACAAATATTAAAGGATTATTGAGATAAAATAAACTCCAATTTCTTCTTGAAAAATTACTTGCAAGGTAGTTTTGTCTTATTTCAACTGAGCTGAGATATTTACAGCAGAAAATAGACAAAAATACTTTGTAAGGTTTTGTGTTTTTGCAGTGTGAAGCAGGAGATTAACTTATAACGAGGAAGTTTCCCCATAAGTGAAATAATCTGCCAGTGCAACAAATACTTTTTCTATAAATATCAAGGAATTATTGATTTAAAACTCCTTTCTCAAAAGTTACTTGTTTGTTAGTTCACTAAGTTTATTGCACTACAAACTAGACCAAAGATACTTGGTAATATTTGATGTTTTTGCAGTGAAGTTCGTTTGCTCAGCTAAAACAAAAACAGCGCTGATTTGCAATAATTAGCGGTGAGAAATGTTTGTATAATCATGATGTAATAAAAATGGTTGGGCAGAGTCTTTCCAGCGATGAAGCTCCCGGATTCACTAACTGGTAATTACTTCCCAGCATCCCCCCTCTTCCTCTGACTTTGTTCAGAGGAAAATGAGGGCGAGTTCTGCTCATTTTAAGGCGATGCGATTGGATATTATTCCTGGTACAGTAGGAGGTTCGCTCCTCCATCGGCGATTACACGAGACGTCTTCCATCAGCGAGCAGATGAGGTGAGGAATATAATGAATTCATTTACCCTCCAACGCTCTGCCTTTCTTCCTTCTGTTTATTATATCCCATTTGCATACGGATCGGAAAATTCAAAAAGCTCAGCGCTGGACTAATCGGCTCTGAATATTTCACAGCGGACCTGTAGCTCTCCCTACAGGTCAGCACATAAAAGCTGCTTCCTGTTTGTGGATTTGCTTTCAAACAGCCAAACTGTTCCTGATTACCTCGCCTCTTATTCCATGGAAGGGGGAAAATCCTTGACCGTGATTCCTTGGTTGCTTTTTTACATTTTTTTACAGGTGTGGGTATTGATCTTTTGCCTTTGCTGCAGGGGAGTGTGTTCACTTAAAAGGCCCGCTGATGTAGCAGAGCTTATTAAACAAATAGGCCGGAGAACAAGGCCGCAATCGCTTTGAATCATGAAGGAGGCTGCCTGTCTTAAAGCACCACTGTATCAAATATGAAACGCTCTGCTAACAAGGTGTGTAATCTATTTCTAATCAGATCATATTTTATGAAACAAGGAGAAGCTTGAACTTAAGTAAGAGAGAAAGATGGAGATTCAGAGGCGGGGGCGGGGCCGGCTTGTATTTTGAGATTGGATGTGACGGCCAGGGACCATGACTTGATTTTACATGCATGGCTCTATAATGAAGCCATGCCAAATGGTCAGTAATGGTTAAGTTTAGGGGGAGCCGGAGCCCAGCTGTAATGGGAGGCTAATTCGGGGCCCTTGCCGCCTTGACAGGCTGCAGAGCACAGCTGGAATATGGAGAAGGATGGAAGCTGGAGGCTCTGGGGCTGCAGTAAAGGTCTGTATTTGTCTGCAAATTGCCAGTTTGCCTGAGGATATAACAGGGTCAAGTGTAGCGTAGCATATTTTGTGTTCACAGAAACTGTTGCAGATATAAATACAATCTAGAAACAGTCTCAGTCAGACACAGAGGCCAGCTAACTCCCTCAAATCAAGTGTTGTGCAGGAGTGACTTCATGTTGTCATTGCCATTCAGGCCATGATCCTTTTTATATATATCTTTATGCTGGCCGGGTTCATAGGCGAGTGTTTTCAATCTCTTTTTT